AAAGGGCAGCCCTGCCGGAGTCCAACATGCACTGGAAACAAGTCTGACTTACTGCCAGCAATGCTAACCAAGCTCCTGCTCCGGTCGTACAGGGACCGGACAGCCTTTAGCAAAGGGCCCCGGACCCCATAGTCCTGGAGCACCCCCCACAGGGCGCCACGAGGGACGCAGTCGAATGCCTCTCCAAATTTGCAAAACACATGTGGACTGGTTGGGAAAACTCCCATGAACTCTCCACTGCCCTGAAGAGGGTATAGAGCTGGTCCAGTGTTCCACGGCCAGGACGAAAACCGCATTGTTCCTCCTGAATCCGAGGTTCGACTCTCGGTCGAATTCTCCTCTCCAGTACCCTGGCATAGACTTTCCCGGGGAGGCTGAGGAGTGTGATCCCCCTATAGTTGGAACACACCCTCCGGTCCCCCTTCTTAAAAAGAGGGACATGGCATTACACCATATACAAAATGCATGTTTATTTCACATGGTAAATATGAAGGATTGTGTTTGGTTTGTGGGTGTAGGCAAAGAGTAGTTCTGGAACACTGGAACACACTGTTGAGCCCACCTCAACAAAACACCACTTAGTGAGAGAGTGCCCAACTGCCTTCACTCCTACACCCACCCAGAGTCAGGGATGCTTTGCAGTAAGGCTAAGCTAGGTCTGGAAAATGATGTTGCTTATCATGGGGCTTTGAAGATTTATGACTGCATGGCCTGACACCCTACTTTTTAGGTCCAAATAATGAGTAAACATCATTTAACTTGTATACTGAGCTTCCATATGAATGCTCTTCCATTCTTTATCACATTTAGTTGTGTATTATTGATTGTACACTTCCTGGGAGTTTGTGGTGTGTTTGCATTTGAAGTTATGTGTTCATGTATTTCTGCAGACTGTCCAACATGTGCTGTCAGTGAAAAATGCATTGAAAGGATTTGCTAAACTTATCTCTTACTCTTGAGAGACAGACACCCCCTATGCTCTCCAGGGCTTTGAGCAGGACACCTTTTAAGCCGGGCCAATTAAACAATGAGCATGTCCCTGCAACTTGCAAAGGAAATAAACAGACTAAAGCAAATACAGTAATTATTGGCAACCCCAAAATCTGCTTTATTTTCCTATAAATAAAATATCTTAGTATATAAAGTCAAGACTAAAAATGCAACTGCATGCAACAGACTGTACCTTTAATTACATGTATTTAAAAAGGAGGTACTGACACCACTGTGCACACAATGTGCAAGGTGTTAGCTTAGGTTGCAGGGGGTGGTGCTAGGATTTCTATACCTTAGAGTAAGAGATGAGGAGGAACCTGCTGCAACACTTGTACTGTATGTTTCCTCTGCAAGAACTCTGCAAAGCATAATACTGCTTTGAATTCACACACACTTGATTTTTGATTGATTTTGATTTATTTATTCTTTCAAGCATATAAAACAGTTGATATAACAACACACATTTTTACACAC